TATATATATATATATATGCATATATATATATGCATAGGTACAAGCATACACATATATATGTATAAATATTATCTGTATGCATTTTTATATACACAAATGTATGTATACACGCATATATATATATAATATATATATATTATATATATATATATATAGGAACAACATATCCATGTTTTATACGTAGAGGATTAGAAGGGTTTATTTTTCTTACGTTCGGAAAGAGACGCGAGATGTCTGTTGAATTTTTCCATCCTTTGTCTGTGGGTCAGCTGCAGTTGTTTCTTTACTCTTTCTGCTTCTCTTGCCTTTCGAGCTAAATAAAAAGCCTTTTCAGCCTTAGTCCAGTTGGGGTTTGCATCTATAAGCAGAGCTTCTACGTCTTCTGATGCTGCAGCAAAGTAATACATCTCAAGGAAACACAGACAAGCACTTGCGCAGCAAACAAGGCAAGTAGAGAACGTATTCACACCAAATACAGAGAAAAGAGCTTTATATCGGTGGTAGAATACGCAAAAAAGCAAATATGCATGCGTTCATCTATGCATGCATTGCTTTGCGGCTGTGCAGGCATAAGTAGCAGTAGGAGCAGCAGAGAATTCCATAGAGACCGAACAATGTAATTAAATATAATGCAGTTGCGGGCTGTAATGGGAGATATAGTGAAAGAAAGAAATGCGAGAAATAAGAAAACAGAAAAAGAATATAAACAAGAAAGAAGCAGAAATACTCACAAGACACCAGGGACCTACGAGCTTCTCTGCTGCGACTACGGCTATTTCTTTCATCCTCTTCATCTTTGTCTTCTTCTTTTTCTTGCACTTCTTCTTCAGGTGTATCTACAGATCTTTCTGCTGCTTCCTGAGACCCTTCTTCTGGGGAAGATGCTGCAGCTGCTCCAGCAGACTTGTCAGCGTCCTTGCGTAAGATAACGCCTGGCTGCTGCTTCCCCTGTTGAATTGCTGCTGCTGCAGCAACAGCATCAGGATCGTTTGCAAGATCTGGGGGGAGGTCTACTACTGTTGGCCCTGCTGCATCTTCTTCTTTGTTGCCTTTGTCCTTTTTCTTCTTCTTTCTCTTCTTATCAACAAGCGCCTCGCTCTGGCGCTTGAAGCGCAAACTCCCCCTAACGGCTGTCTCAAAGCCCGACATGTTTGTGAAAAAGAAAGAAAAAAGAAAGAAGAGAAAAGGAGAAAGCGATGGAACTGAGATTATTAAGAGATAATAGAAAGACAGGAAGGGGGGGAAGGGTGTAAGAGGCAGAAGCCAGATTGGAGAGCTTCTTTGTCCTTGAAGTGTGCTAGTTATTCCGCAATAATAGTATTATATTCAGCATTAATTACTGCATATAATATTATATTATTTGCTTTTCTTCGCGTTCATGAATCCTGCTCAGCGCTCTCCACGTAGCCAAGGAGGAATATCAGCATTAGCACGAGGACGCCTGTGTATAGACACCACCATCAGAACAAAGAAATAATTCTGTTTTTTTATATCTCTCAACGATAATGAGTCTCAATAAAACAGAATTTATAAAAAGAAAGAGACAATACAAGCAAAACTGGAGCATAGAAAATACCGAGAGCTTCTATGTGCTTGCAGGCGTTTATTGAAGTAGGCGCTGAGACGCTGAATGAAGACAGTTGAATATATTTTATTATTACTACAACTCACCAACAATATTTGTTGCCAAATAAACTTCGTATTCCATTTTAATTTTCTTCTCTTTAATTAAAAGCAATCAGAAAACGTAAGCAGAAAACGCAGAGGGATTGAGGAGGCCTCCGTCTCAAGGGCAGACGCTGAAATGCATCATCTTTTTAGCATCATGTTTTATAATTCTTTCCTTTATTTCTATTATTTTATTTTTCTTGGGAGAGTTCTGAGCTGTAGAGCAATGAGAGCGGCGTTTGGGGCTGCGGTTGCCTGCATGCATGCATAGGTTGGCGATCTTCGCCGTGCATACACCCCAGCAGTAGCTGTTTCTGTAGAGGAATTTCGGGGATATTATCCCTATTAATTCATACCATTTATACCATCACTGATCCGCTAAATCCTCCACGTTTCTTCCCAATTAACCCAGCTACGTCTGCCTTCTGCACGCATGCTGGTAGAGTCTGCAGCAGCAGCAATTTCACCTTCGAGGGGAGTTAGGCTACACGACAACGCGATCAGTACCATTGAGATCAGTAGCACTGAGACTGAAGCGGCTGACAACACTGGGACAGTGAAGCCTACGCTGTAGACAAGCATTAATTTCTAGTTGGAACACGGCATGAATGCAGATAAATACGAGCTCAATCACGCAGACCGGCAGCGCACTGCGGGCCCGCTTCCGAGTGAGCGAGCATCCATGCTGGTGTATAGGTTGGCGAACGGGAACCGAGACAGCGTGCAGCATCCTCTTTCCGAAGTTGGTACACAAAAACTGAGTAGCTTTAGTTGGCAGCCTGCAATCAAGCACAAGTACAACGATTGCCTATATGGTTAGTGGTGCAGACAGCAATACGGGGGTTGGTTGCGTTTGCATGCGCATGTGCCCTGTAGCAGGAGTTGCAACGCAGCGTGTTGCAACTCGCCCCAACCCGCCTCCCGTCCCCCAGCCCATAGCCTTAGGGCCGCTGCACCCAGAACGTCAGGGGGATGGAGAGTGATTCGGCTGCCTTTTCGGAACTTTTTGCTGAAGTTTTTCAGGTCGAATGCAGCTCGCGACGACCCTCGGATAAGATAGCTGAATCTCGCTAAAATTCGCTTTCCTGTTGAATGAGGCATTCGTGTATGCATAAGAAAGGAAGGTGGCGGTGGGTGCGTGTGGGATTGCTGGTGAGGGAAGAGTTGCTGCAGATGGAACAACAGCTCTGGAGAAGCTGTCCCCTCTCGCTACACTCCCCAAGAACCCGTGCTGCTGTGCTCAGGAGACGCGGCGATAGGAGGGATGCCGCATAATCGTTGTGAAATTCCTACATTCCAGCTTTTGCATAGATACAGATGGGCAAGTTGGGGTAGAAACACTCTGTACGGGCTTGTTGCATGCATCGAGAAAGGGAGTGACTCTCCCTCCTTGTGGGGTTGCCTTGCAATAGGAGTTGCTGCGCCTCCAGGTAAACATCCTCCTCGAAGCACCAGTCCCAGAACTTTGTTCGGCCTGCCTAGGACGCCTACTCTGAAAGCGTGCAGCATGTCATGGGATTTCCAGCGGGCGCCAACTGCAAATCGATACGTGGCGAAACGAGCTTGTGCTGTATGCACGAGTTAGGAAGAGGCAGCTGGCCTTCATAGATGATTTCTATGAAGGCCAGCTGCCTCTTCCTAACTCGTATAGAAAGCGTTTTGACTATAGCTGCTCACAGTGGTCCTCGGGCAAGGCTGAAGACGCCCACCCGACATGGTAGCACCAAATGGTTAGGAAGGCCAAGCGGAAGCCGCGAACACCATCCCTACAGCGAATCTCTACAGTAGAGTCCAGGCTCTACTGTGCAACTGCGCCTGTACGTGATGTTTACGTCTTCCGCTCTTGACTCAGTGTGTTGCTACTCCTTTGATACATTGTCGTCTTCCTTGCTAGTGTAAACATTGGACGCCGGGTTAAGCACTAAAGCATAAACAGAAATCTCTTGTGTTACCAGAAAAAGCTTGGGAGACGGCGATTATACATCGCGGCGCTGCATTGTGCAGGGGCCATGACTGGATCGAGTTAACGGTGGAGACGGTGCACACGCCCTTAAGGCGACTCAGAAGTTTCCCGTCAACCGGTAATATACCCTCACTTAACCGGACTTATTACGGAGGGATCCCGAAGAAGTTCGCCAATGAACTGTGTATGCATCCTTGCCAATCATACTGGGGTCAGCGCGCTGGCGTGCAAGTTTGAGTCCCCAACACCAGAAGTTTCGATTCTCTAAACCTCTCCAGTTATTCGGCGAAATCATGTCGAATTGTCCTTGCAAAACGGCAACAACGCCTTCGCAATACGGAGCAATCGGGAGAGGCAGAGACTCTACCAAGATATGCAATGATGCAAAGATGCAACAAAAACCGAGACTATTCCGCTTGCCAGCGGCACGAGAACCCGAGAGGGCTTCGGTGTCAATAAACCTTGCAAAAGAAACTCATAGCGTGATCTCCTTAAAACTGCGGTAATGAGCACTAGCGTGGACATCCACAACACAGTTCAATTCTGGACGGCCTAAAATTAAAGGCAGCTGCTTCGTCAATGCGTATGGAAGGGTCCAGAGGAGACAGTAGTAATAATAGGGACAAGAGATCCCTATCTCCCCACCTGCGAGCTCTGTAGGCTTAATTATTCTCCAGCCGTAATCTGAATCCCTCCCTCTACTTTCGATTAGCTATGTGCATCATCAACTAAAAATACCTTAACTTTTCTATTTCGATGCTGGCTTCCCATTTGGACCTGGTTTGAGCTACCGCATAATGTTCGCTAGGGGTGCTGACTTCTACCGTATTTTTGCTTGTCTTAAAGATGCCAGCATTGACTCGCAAATACCAATTCACCCATGTTGCCGAGTTCGCCTCAGAGGGTCAGCAACGCACTCCTGTGAGCTGGCCCGTCCCCGCCACAAGGGGACAACGCCACTAGCACCAAATCTCAGCAACAGCCGCCAGCTTCTTGAAGCCGCTGCTCCTTATTTTGCTGTCATGGAGTGAAGCTAATGGCTTGCATTGCCGTGCATGAACTCTCATGCTGCACCCGGCGCACGAAGATTTACGCTTTTTAGAAGAGCGTTAGGGGGGTGGATCTGCCTGGGGTTGCTATCCCGTTGGTGCGCCCGGTATTTGCGTTCATGTTGACTACGGAAAGTTAATTAAGTGCTTATAATTGTTGACGGCGTTCATGCACATTAAAAAGGAGGCTTGGGCAGGCTTGGAGATGCCCTTACAACAACAGCAGCAACGGCAAGTGCCAGGTTCTTTCCACCCAGGCCCCCGTCCCTGTGCGCTTCGGAACCCTAGTAACAGGAGTGTAGCTCTTTAGCGAACTGTGACTTTTGGCAGCTCATGACGTTCGTAGGCTATGGCCAAGAGTTTCCTCACACCCATCAGTACACACATCAGCAACTTCAGTAAAATCTGCAACCCTGCACCTCGCGAATACACCAAACAAAACTAATTCATTGGGTTTGGGATAAAAAGCCATACGTACACTATAACCACAACAAGATTTATAAGTGCGAGTCGACTGTGGCCATCCTCGTCGTCAATGCGCCCTCAACGAAACTGTAGCATGCTGCACCTACATTGATCTCCAGTTGCGTGGAAGGTGGCTGGTGAGGGCTAGGTAGGTATTGAAAAACTGCCTGCACTGACAAAATATGCATCAATAGACGCCTTCGTCTCTGTTGCTTGTGGTGTTGCCTTATAACTGGAGTTGCAGCAATGTGTGGCGCAACTCCCGACAGGCCGCCCCAGCTGCTACGACACCCAGGCGGGTGTACCGCCCTGACCAGGGTGCCTGGATAATGGAGAGGAGTTCACTTGTTTAGGAAATTTATATAAGATGTTTTGACACCTCTGCAGCTCACTATGGTCCCAGGCATATGGCGAGGTCTCTCATCGCTGCACTGTACGCGGCACTAGGGCTGCTGAAAGAGCTCTGTTTGGGGCATACAAATTAAATAGAATATAAATAGGCGACTGAAAAAGTGCAGAAGAATATGAAAAATGTCAAAAGATGCAAACGAAGTACCACTATTGCTGTCGGAGGATTTGCATGCAGTGCGTCGCCAGACGGGCAGCAGACAGTGAGCTATATAAGCACCCCCTAGTTTTATTTATGTTTGCAAAATGGGTGAAAATAGTAAATAGTTTAAACAATTTTTTAGTGAAACAAAAAGGAATCTGAGACACCGAAGAAAACCAATTGGACTCCGCAACGCCGCCGGTGCGTGGCTGGTCGCCGCTCGCTGTCAGATCTGTTTGTTGTTTTGTTTGCTTCATAAAGTTGCAGCAGAAGATCTAATTGCGATTAAACACTTTGCTTTGAAAAACGACGCATATTCTTCTTTTCTTCACCGCACCGGTATGTATGTTGAGCTGCCGATACACCGGAAACGCCGCTGCGTATGCCTCATTCAGGTTTCGTGTTTCTTGTGCGTATTTGTATTTTTTGCAATGATTCCTTGCTATTAAGTGTTTTTTAGATGTTTTTGTGGTTTTGTTCTCTTTAAATGCTTATTCTGTCGGCTGAAAGATTCGCGATAGCTTTGATCAGGCGCTCTGTTCGTCTTTACGTGCATCTTCTCGCGCCGTCGTCTGATTATTCAGTACCTGCTTTTTCCTCTTTTTATTTTTTTCTTTTCTTTTTATTGATTAAATCTAATAAAGACCACAGATATCTCACTGACGAGGCGTGAGAGACCTCCTCGCCGGTCCTGCCTCATTAGCAGTATCCGCATGCAGCCTTTCGCGCCTTCTGCGCTTCTTCTCTCGAGTTTGCTGACTTGCATGACGTTGCGTGCACTTTGAGACAGTAGTGAATGGTGATAATGGGGGCTGCCATTGTTCCTTCCCTCTCCATTCCCTCTCTCAAAACGTGCGGAAGGAGAGGCATCAAGGGACCCAGCAGCAAATAGGCTGTCTCTGTGTGTTTTGGAATAAATGCATGCATCTGTACATATGCCGATACTCCAGGTGTACTGCTACCATCCTATTGCTAAATGGGTGTGTCGACCGCTTAAGACCATGCATGCATGCATGCATGCATGCATGCAACCATATAATTTGTGTTTTTTGTTTTCAGATAGATATATATTTATCTCTTGAGATCGTCAAGGTCACTTTGTCTTGTTGAAGATGGAGGCTTTTAATTTTACGGGTTTTTCTGCTGTACCCGCTCGTTCTTTATTGGATTTTACTCCTTTGTCTGCTCCTCAGAAGCGCCATGTCTCGAAGATATACGCAGCACTTACAGTTAATGTGCTGCTTACAGCAGTTGGGGTGTATGCACAGCTCAGATGGGTTAGCCTCCCCACCTTCCTCTCCCTGTTGCTCTCCATTGGTTGTGTCTTCGGTCTCACCTCCTCCTCACAGAAGGCGCATGCAGAATCTCAAGTAAGAACATACAAAGCTGCTGCTGCTGTTGCTGCTGCTGCTGCTGCAGTCCCCCTACCTGATGCTTTGATGCCGCTGCAGCTGCAACTCAGCATGCAGTTCTGTGCATAGCTGCTTTTCCTCTCTTTTCCTGTTTAGGGTTTAGGGTTTAGGGTTTTTGAATGGTTTGTGGTTTGTAAATGGTATTGTGATTGATATTGTTGATTATATATATATTTTCTTTGTTTGTTTGCTGCTCTGCTGCAGATGCTGACGAAGGAGCGAGCTCTCTGTTACGGAGGGTTTGGGGTTTTGAACGGCATGCTGATAGCAAACTATTTGCATGCAATTCATTTCTATGTAGGGCCTCAAGTTATCCCTACTGCTTTCTTCGCCTCTGTCGCGGTCTTCTTCTGCTTCTCTGCTGCAGCGCTCGTTGCCAAGCAAAGGTACGCCTTCCTTTAGGGTTTAGGGTTTAGGGTTTAGGGTTTGGGGGATTGGGGGGCTGGGGATGTGTGTAAGGAGGGCGGCGTGACTCTTCATGCCTGGGTATATTGTTGAGAGCATTCGAGGTCGCTAGAGTTTAGTAGGAGGAGGGTTTCGTTAGGGTTTAGGGTTTAGGGTTTAGGGTTTGGAAGGGTGCGGTGTTGCGTTCAGGTCGTATCTTTACTTGGGTTCTTTGCTGGGAGCGGCGCTGACTTATCTGTCTATTGCTTCGCTTGTGAATATCTTTTTGAGAGCTCAACTCCTAAACGATATTCTTTTGTGGGGTGGCCTCTTCATGTACCTTGGGTACGACGCTAAACCCTAAACCCTAAACCCTAATTCACCAGACAGACCCTTCCTCCCCACTGCGAAAAACCAGCCCTTCTGCTCTGTATAGCCTTTCTATTGTTGTCAAAAAGCTCTAAACCCTAAACCCTAAATAAACCCTAGGCGTATATATAAGGGTCAGCTGTCTTCGTGTGTAGATAGAATTGGGGTTTAGGGTTTGTGGTTTGTGGTTTGTGGTTTGTGTTTTAGGTTTGTGGTGTACGATACGCAGCTGGCTGTTGCTCAGTTTGACATGGGTAATAGAGACTATCTGCTGCATGCAATTCAATTCTACGCGAACTTTATTTCTTTGTTTTTGCGTCTTGTTGCTATCCTTTCGGAGAGGCAAGAAGAAGCAAACCGCAGAAAGAGAGAGCGACGTGATTAAACATGCAACAGCAACAGCAGCAGCAGCATCAGCAGCAGCTGCTGCTGCTGCTGCTGATGCTGCAGCTGCTGATGCTGCAGCAACAGTAGTAGTAGATGCTGCTGCTGCTGCTTTTAGTGCTGCTGCAGGAGTAAGAAACTCATCAACAGCAACAAGCACAGAAATGATGCAGCAGACCGTGGCGCTCGTGTTGAGACCCCTGGGCCCCGCACTCCACCGCTTAAACCCTAAACCCTAAACCCTAAACCCTAGGGAGAAAAACCCTTTAATGATTCTGTGGAAGGGCGCAGACCCGCAGGGGGCCCGTGAAAGCGCAAAGCTGTTTCAGCCAAGTGTTGTGCCTAGCAGAAGTAGTTCGTGAGAGCTGCTGCTGCAACTGCTGCTGCAACTGCTGCTGCAGCTGCTGCTGCAGCTGAAAGTTCGCTGAGGTCGGCGGCCTTTTGAGGTGTACGTACAGCTCACGGGCCTGAATTTTTCTCCAATTGTTTCGCGAGAAACCCAAGACGTTTACTTTTTTGAGGTGACAAACAGACTCAGGGCTGTTGGGGTTTAGGGTTTAGGGCTGCTCCCCTAAACCCTAAACCCTAATACGAGGGTTTCAGGGGACCCCCTAAACCCTAAACCCTAATACGAGGGTTTTAGGGGATTGGGGCAATCGCACAGCTTCTTATTTCTGGTTTTCTCGCTTTCTTCAGCAATGCTGCAGCCTCTAACGTAATATATACATATAGTAAATATATAGATATATAATATACATATGCATATAGAAACATATATATATATATATATATATATAGGCATATCTATATTCACGCTGTATGCGGACAAGATACTGTGTTTGTGTCTGTCTATTGGGGTCTCTCTTCTATCTCCTACCAACTGCTGCTGCTGGTTAGTGCTGCTGCTGCTGCTGCTGCTGCTGCTAGGTAGTGCTGCTGCTGCTGCTAGGTACAGTAGGGGTGAGAGTCTCAAGAACAGGAACAGAGGCGGAAATGAGGTCTCCAGCTCTAACCCTAAACCCTAAACCCTAAACCCCCTGTTTATCTGTGTCCTGCTGTTTAGTTTTGTTGGTTTTAATTATTTTATTGTTTACCTCAATTATTTCTTTTTATTTATTTTATCTCGCTCACTTAATTATTTTATTTATTTTTCTTTATCTAATTATATTTTATATCATCTTATTCGTCTTTATTTTAATTATTTTTATCTTCTTGCGTTTTGTTTGTGCCTGGAGAGCGGCACCCAAAAGAAGAAGACGAAAGCCTCAAATGCCAGCAAGGGTTTAGGGTTTAGGGTTTAGGGTTTACGCTGGCGACGAAGACGCCGCACCGCAGCCAGCCCTACTATTACTACTATTGCTGCTGCTGCTGCTGCTGCTGCTGCTGCTGCCTCTTCTGTTGCTGCGTAATGTTGCCGCCCATCCCGCTTCCCCCCCCAGCAGCAGCATCTGCTCCCTCTGCTGCTGCTGCAGCAGCATCTGCTCCCTCTGTTGCTGCATCTGCTCCCGCTGCTGCTGCATCTGCTGCTGCAGCAGCAGCAGCAGCAGCAGCTATGAGTGCCTGAAGTATTTGAGTGCGAGCCACTGCCAGTACACCCAAAAGACGAGGCTGACTAACGAGCAAGCGGGGAGACAGCAGAAATAAACCTCCCGACCAACACGTGCATTGCAGAGGCCTACGAGAGGCAGCAGCTGCTGCAGCAGCAGCACAGCAACAGCAAATACAAACACAACTAAAGATAGAAACAATACAAATAAACCTGCAGCAACAAGCATGCCTGGGTCTTTACTAAACCCCTCCATACGACGCAGAGCTAACCCTCCTGCAGCAAGACGTGCAGCAGCAGGCAGCAGCTCCGGACCATCTGCTGCTGCTATGTCAAATCCGCTGCTGCTGCTGCTGCAGAAACTGCTGCTGCTGCTGCAGTTGTCATCGTTAGCGCCGTGAGGGGCCTTCTTATGCTTGGAGCAGCAGCAGCAGCAGCAACAGCAGCGGCAAGAGCGCAGCTTTTTCTCGCCGCAAGGACAAGCAGCAGATGCCCCCTTGGTATGTACGGCCGCCATATCTGCTGCTGCTGCTGCTGTTTCTGCTGCTCCTGAAGCTGCTGTTGCTGCTGTGAGGATTTTCGCGTTGCTGCTGCTGCAGCAACAATCGAGCTAAGGGCGCATCAGCAAACAGCTTATGCGGCCCCCAACCTCCAGGGGGCCTCCTGCTGCTGCTTCCTTTCCTGATGCTGCTGCTGCTGCTGCTGCTGCTGCCACTACTTATGCTGCTGCTGCTTCCGTCGGCCCTGTTGAGGCGACCTTTCTTGAAGCTTATCGTGCGGGAGCCGCTGCCCCTGCTGTTGCTGCTGCTGTTGCTGCTGTTTCTGTTGCTGTTTCTGCTGCAGCTATTGATATTTCTGGTGTAGGTGTTGTTGTTGCTGCTGATGCTGCTGCTGCTGCTTCTGCTGCTGCTGCTGTTCTCGTTTGAGCAGGAAGCAGCAATGAGAGCAGAGAGTGCCAGAGGGTCTACACGTCGCGCCGCACTCAAACAAATAAACAAAACAAATAAACAAATAAATATATAAATAAATATATAAATAAATATATAAATAACCAGAAAGGGCAGCAGCAGCAATGCGCCCTTCACGAGACACCCAACCCTACCGCAGTCACAGCGGTCTGGCCTAGGGTTTAGGGTTTAGGGTTTAGGGTTTAGGGTTTAGCCTTCGACGCTCTATGCAGGGCTTACAGTCTTGCCCTTGAATAAATTAAGTGTGCTGCTTGCTGCTGCTGCAGAGGGATCAGCAGTTGGTGCTGTTGTTGCTGCTGCTGCATGCAGCAGCCAGCGAGCCCCCAGAGGTCCAGCTGCTCACGTAAACCCTAAACCCTAAACCCTAAACCCTAGACCCTAATCCCTAGAACATAAAACATAATTCCTAAGGCCTAGATCGTGAATCCCTGGCGTTAGGCCTATGGTTTGCAAACATTAGCCAGACGAACTCCCTAAACCCTAAACCCTAAACCCTAAACCCTCACCCCAAGTAAAGGCATCGGCTTCTTATCTTTGTTAAGGCTTGCTGCCTGCCTCCACAGCACCCAACAACCTCAAATACAGCAGCAGCAGCAGTAGCAGCAGCAGGACTAGCAAAAAGGTCGGCTCTGGAGACTACAGCTGCGGCAAATGCAGCAGCAGCAGCAGCAGCAGTAGCAGCAGCAGCAGCATCAGCAGCATCAGCAGCATCTGCAGCGGCAGGCGCCTTTCCAGCAGCAGCACGGACACCCCGAGCAGCAGCAGATCTAGCTGCAACAGCAACAGCCGCAGCAGCTGCTGCAGAAACATCTGCAGCATCAGCAGCATCCGGAGCCTGCTGCAGAAGCACTGACGCACGGAGTAGCATCAGCTGCAGCAGCAGCAGCAAGAGCAGCAGCAACATCAGCAGCAACAGCGGCAGCAGCAGCAGCAGTATGCTGAAGGGTATCACGGTGGAGCTGCCGGCTGATGCGGCCGCTCTTCAGCGTCGCAATCAAAAGAAATCGCACAAGAAGAAAAAGAAAGAGAAGAAAAGCAAGAAAAAACACAAGCGCAGCAGCAGCAGCAGCAGCAGCGATGAAGCCGTTATTGTGTCTCCCCCCAGAGCGGCAGAGCCTTCCCAGCCTGCGTCATCACCAGCAACAGCTGCAGCAGCAGCAGAAGCAGCAGCAGCAGACCTTCAAGTGCTCCAGAACCTTCTAGCCAATCCATTTGCCTCTTCAGCTTCTACAGGAGGAGGAGGAGCAGCAGCAGCAGCAGCACCAGCAGCAGCACCAGCAGCAGCACCAGCAGCAGCACCAGCAGCAGCAACTCCGGGAACAGCCCTGCAGCAGGGCCGCGAGGCCCTCAGGGCTTTCATCTCGGGGGAGTCTCCAAGCTATCGTAAAACAGCAGCAGCAGCAGCAGCAGCAGAGACTGAGAGTGTGGCGGCACAGCGCGAATTAAACCCTTACTACAGAGGGGGAGGGTCTGGGCTACCACCCGAAGTGAGGGTTTAGGGTTTAGGGTTTAGGGTTTGTAACTTGGAATTGCTTGTTGGGGACTTTGGGGGGCTTTCGCTTTAGGGTTGCGGCTGAGGGTTTAGGGTTTAGGGTTTAGGGTTTACAACTTGGAAATCTTTAGAGCGTATTTCAGTGTTTCGGCTGAGGGTTTAGGGTTTGCGGTCTAGGGTTTAGGGTTTAGGGTTTATGAGTAATGTGTGTTGTATCTTGTATCTACAGGGCTCTCCAGCAGCAGAAGAGCCTGCTGCTGCTGCTGCTTCATTGTCTCCTGGAGCGCAGCTGTGGCAGCGGCGTCAGCTGCTGCGGCTGCAGCAGCAAGCAGCAAAAGAAGGGATTCCTTTATCTGCTGCTCTCCAGAGACACTTCGGCTCTTTAACTGAGGAGGCGCTTGAATCCTTTCAGAAAATACTGGCCCAGCCAGAGGGCCCCAGGGGGGGCCCCCGGGGGCCCCCTAGTAGGGGGTATGGGGGCCCCCGGGGGGCCCCCCGTGGGGCCCCCCCATTTCAGAGGGATCCCCCAGAGCGCCCCGCTGAGGCCCTGGGGGATCGATTCCGGGATCGTGTTGGGGATCGTGTTGAAGCAGCGGGGGAACGTCGTGGGGATCGGGAGGCGCTACGGGATCGTCTCCGGGAACGGGAAGCAGCGCGTGGGGATCGGTTTGAAAGACAACTCCAGGGGAGTTTCGGGGGTGGGGATCGATTTGCAGGACTTGGGGATCGGGTTGGGGATCGTGTGGGGGATCGGTTTGCGGGGCTGGGGGATCGTGTTGGGGATCGCTCAGAGAGTGTGGGGGATCGTGCTGGGGATCGTGTTGGGGATCGGCCTTTTGGGGGATCGTCTGGGGGACGGTGGCAGCAGGAGAGGGGGAGGAAAGAAACTGTCTCTGAGTCATCTCTTAGCAAGTTGGAGAGGAAGCTGCTCTTCATTAAGCAGCAAGCGCAAGACAGCAGCAGCAGCAACGACAACAGCAGCAGCAGCAGCAGCAGCAGCAGTAGTAGTAGTAGTAGTAGCAAGAACTACAGTGAACGACCCACGTCAGATGCAAATGCAACTGGCAGCAGCAGAAGCAGCAGCAGCAACGACAACAGCAGTAGCAGCAACGACAACAGCAGCAGCAGCAGCAGCAGCGCCAGCAGCAGCAGCAGCAGCAGCATTGATGATTTGAATGCTTTGTCTGCGAAGGCATTAAGGGCCCGCCTAAAAGGAGACATTGAAACTGCACAGAGATTAGAGGGCCTCATCGCTGTGCAGAGTTTAGGGGGTAAAGGAATCAAGGCTGCGTCTGCTGCTGCACCAGAGGTTGCTGCTGCAGCAGCAGCAACAACAGCAGCAGCAGCCTTCAGGCCGCAGAGACAGACAAAAGAAAAGGAGACAATTCAAGATGCCCCCAGAGGAACTAAAAGAAAGACGCACGACGAGCAACCCACTGAGTAAGCCAATCTGCTGCTGCTGCTGCCTGTTGCTGCTGCTGCCTGTTGCTGCTGCTGCCTGTTACTGCTGCTGTTCTCGTTGTTTTCTCTGGTGTTGCTGCTGTTGCTGTTGCTGCTGCTGCGGCTGTCTTCGTTGTTTTCGCTGCTGTTGCTGCTGCTGCTGTCCTCGTTGTGTTCGGTGCTCTTGCTGCTGCTGTTGCAGCTGCTGCTATTGTTGTTGCTGCTGCATTTGCTACTGATGCTGCTGCCACTCATGTTGCTGCTTCTTTTGTTTTTGTTGCTGCTGCTTCTCTTGTATCGTTTCCTCTACACCTATAGCGAGTTGCTGCTTCTTTTAGGGTTTGCTGCCGCTGCAGTGCCTCCATGGTTGCTGCTGCTGCTGCCCATACTGCTGCCCATACTGCTGCTGCTGCTGCTGCTGCTGCTGCTGCTGCTGCTGCTGCTGCTGCTGCTGCTGCTGCTGTGGGGTGTGCAGCTACAGCTCTCTGAGTGTGTTAGAGATGGCCAGAGAGGAGAAGACCTTGTCCGGCGTAGCAAACGAAAGAGCGATGAACAGACGCCTAATTGCAGGTTAGCTGTCTGTCTCCTTTTGTCTCTCTACTTTATATATATATATATATATGTTTTCATATGCATATATTTGTATATTTATTTATTTATATTTATGATGCCTTCTTCTATCGCTGTCTGTCTCCTTTTGTCTCCTCTTGAGGTGGAGACAGAGACACAGAGACGAAGGGAGACAGAGGAGAATATATTTTTTAATATAAACATCATATATATGTTTTTTAATTAATTAATTAATTAATTAATTAATTATTTATTATTTATTTATTTGCAGATCCCGAGGGGATGGAGACTCTGAAGCGGAAAATGCGGCAGCAAAAGCAGAATGAAAGGAGCAACAGACTTCATCAGGCAGAGTAAACCCTAAACCCTAAACCCTAAACCCTAAACCCTAAACCCTAACCCCTAAACTGTAGACAGTTTTAATTGCTTTGGCCTCTGGAGAGGACAAAGGAATGTATTGAAGGAGACAGAGTAAAGCAAGATAAAAACTTTTATAGAAAAGGAGACAGTGTGTTGCTGCGTACAGGACACGCTGTCTCTGGTGTCTAGACAGCGCAGGGTTTGACAGATTGCGAGGAGACAGTCTCCTCTCTCTTTCTTCTTTTGCTTTTCTTTGTGCCCCTCCGATGAACAAAACCATCCACAAGGACCACCTCCTCATCATCCCTGTCGTAGGCAGCCGAGGGTTTAGGGTTTAGGGTTTAGGGTTTAGGGTTTGGGGTTTAGGGTTTTCGCAGTGTGTCGCTGTTCTGTTTGCATGTGTCTCCTTTGGGGTTTTATGCTGGGATTCATCTGCTGTCTCCTTACGCCTTCTTGTCTTTTTTGTCTATAACATTCATTTCTTTTTGTTTATCTCTGTCTCTCTTTGTCTCTCTCTGTCTCTCTCTCTCTCTGTTTAGCTCTCTGTTTATGTCTCTTCTTGTCTCTTCCTGTCTCCGTCTGTCTCTCGTTGCCTCTCTTTTTTTCTGTCTCCCTTTGTCTCTCTTTGTCTGTCTCTGTCTCTGTCTCCGTCTCTGCCTCGATCTCTGTCTCTGTCTCTGTCTCTCTCTGTCTCTGTCTCTGTCTCTGTCTGTCCCTGTCTCTGTCTCTCTCTGTCTCCTTTGCGTTTTTTTCTTTGCTTTTTTGGGCCCGCTTCCTTCTTCTTATTCTGTTGAATTTCTTCTGCCTTCTCCGTGACTCCCCCTCAATCTATCTATCTATCTAGCTAGCCCGCTAGCTATCTAGCCCGCTAGCTATCTAGCTAGCTAGCTAGCTAGCTAGCTAGCTAATAACATGCAGACATGTATTGATAAAACGGTGGAGTCTGAGTTTGGATCAGCTTCTCTAAGGGTGAAATGGCCAGCTAGCTAGCTAGCTAACTAGACCTAGCTAGCTAGCTAGCTGCTAGCTAGCTGTCTAGCTAACAAACAAAGCCGCTAGCTAGCTAGCTAGCTAGCTAGGTAGCTAGCTAGGTGTATGTATTAGGGCGCATGCATTTGTGGGGTTTTTGTGCGGTTTGATGCAGCCACACTGCTCAGCAGTGACGGGGCTGGAGGAGGAGGCGTTCGAGTGCATGCGGAATTATATGAAGAGTTTAGTAGCTTTCTTTTCAAAGAGAGGGCAAGCCCCTCTCTTTATAGAGACGGTCCCTAAACAGAATGCTGCAGACAGACAGCTAGCTGGCTTGGGGCCCCACACTGAAGTTGATGTGCTGCCTCTACCTGTAGACAGACTCCAAGAAGCAAGAGTATGCACCACTCATTCTCTAATCCAGGGTTTAGGGTTTAGGGTTTAGGGGAGAGTGTACCTACGCTCGACGATAGTTTGGACTTGGCGAGGGTTTAGGGTTTATGACTGCCGCTACCTGGGGTTTAGGGCTTGAGGGTTTAGGGTTTAGGGTTTAGAGACGAGTAAAGGCATGCCTGAGAGTTTAGAGAGTTAGCAGAGCTAGCAGGGTTTAGGGTTTAGGGTTTGATTTATGCACGGATCGGAGCTTTTCCTGTTTGGCCTCGCGTGTGGGTCGGTTGGCGGGTTTAGGATTTAGGGTTTAGGGTTTAGGGTTTAGGGTTTGGTGTTTGCAGCTGTACTTCCGCAAGGCCTTTGCGGAGTCTGAGGGGTTTTGGCAAAGCCACAAAACTGTTATTGAAGCAAAAGGAAGGGGAGGCGTGAGAGGGACAATCCCCAAGGGTTTCCCATACATTTACGTTGACTTCTCCTTGGGTATGTTTAGGGTTTAGGGTTTAGGGTTTAGGGTTTAGGGTTGTTAGGGTTTATAAGTGGCATGTACGGGAATCTGGTTTTCTCCAGGGCTGAACTCCGAAAAGTTGTTGCTGACATGCGGCTTCGGGTCTCACTACTAGGGTTTAGGGTTTAGGGCTTAGGGTTTAGGGTTTAGGGTTTAGGGTTTAGGGTTTAGGGTTTAGGGTTTAGGGTTTGTGTGCAGAGGACGGGTTGGCTCACGTTATTGAAGACGGCGAAGAGTTCAGCCGCGCGTTTGGGCGCGAAGTGTTTTTAGGGATGTTGGAGTTAGAGAAGACAGAAAGGCCTTTTAGAGACATGAGGTGCCTTCAGTCAAACCCTAAACCCTAAACCCTAAACCCTAAGCCCTTCTACACAAACCTCCATTAGTGCTTAGGGTGTATTTCATCTGCATCGTTCGTTTCGAGCGTTTAGGGTTTAGGGTTTAGGGTTTAGGGTTTGTTTTCAGGCTTTATAAAGAAAATGTTCAGAGGCTAAGGCGGGAGTATGCTCCCTTCGACTGGGTACAGGTGCAGCAACGAGCAGATGCTTGAATGCAACACCGGGGGGCCCCTGCTCTCTTGGGGGCCCCCTAGACACTATAGGGGGCCCCCTGTGGCTTTTGGGGGCCCCCTAGCAGCATACAGAGTGCCTTAGCTCCCCACCAGGGACCTCATCAGACACCCTGCGGTGTACAGGCAGCTCCTCTAAAACGCCCTTTGCTACGCATGCAAACAGTAGGGGCCCCACAGTAGCCTCAAGAGGGAGGCCTTCCCTGAGGGGGCCCTATCTGCGCAAGAAGGTCAATAGGGGCCCCATGGGGCCCCCATGGGGGCCCCTTGGGCCCTCTCTTGAAAACCCCCCTGGCCTAAACCCTTCGTGTGGGGCCCCCTTCGTGAGGCCCCCTATGAAGTTTTTTTTCAGAGGGCCCTTTTGGGGGCCCCTTTATAGGGGCCCCTTGTTAGGGGCCCCCATAGAAACGGCCCAAAGGCCTCCTGGGGACCCCCATAGAGGGGCCCCCATCGAGAGGGTCCTACCCCTTTTGAAGGTCTTTCATGGGGGCCCCCTGTGTGGGGGCCCTTCATGGGGGGCCCCCTCTGAGACCTTTAGGGGGCCCCTGAGTGCCTTTTCTATTGAGGGTTTTGGAGCCCTACTTATGCGTGTTCGCCTATTTAAAGGAGCCCCTCGATGCCTTATTAAGGGGGCCCCTGGGGCCTTCTTCATGGGGGCCCCTTCATGTGGGTCCTCAGGATGCCTTTAGGCTGTTTCTATGGGGGCCCCTAAGTAGGGGCCCCCAAAGGCCCCCTATGATTGAGCCCTGGGGGGCCCCCCATATGTTGTTCGATGGGGTCAGGTATGGGGGCCCCTCTATTCCCTTGAAGGGCCTTCTGGGGGCCCCTTAGAGCCCTCATAGAAAGGAGACAGGCAGATTATTTGTTTTTTGTTGTTGTTACTGCTTTGCTTGTGACAAACATTATTTTGTCTGTTTTGTTTAATTATCTTTATTTATTTAACTCTATTTATTTAGTTTTATTTGTTTAACTTTATTTATTTAGTTTATTTGTTTAATGCTATTTATTTATATAGCTTTATTTATTTTATTTGTTTTTACTGTTTATACTTATCTGTTTATTTCTGCTGGTTTTGTGCTTGCTTATGAAGTTCTTTTTGTTTGGTTTTGCATGCATAATGGACCTTTACTTAAGACGTGCAGCGGGGCCTGAGGGCCTTTGGCTGCTGTTGCTGCAGCAGCTGCTGCTCTTGCAGCAGCTGCTGCTTCTGCTGCTGCTGCGAGGTGTACGTACACCTGGCGGACTTGTTGATATTTTTATAAAAAAAAACGGAGGGCCATCGCCCTCCCCCAAAACCAAAGCGCAGCAGAACGCCAGGCAGCAAATTGCTGCTGTTGCTGCCGTTGCTGCTCTACCTGCTGCTGCTGCTGCTGCTGTTGCTGCTGTTACTACTGCTGCTGCCGCTGAGGGCCTTTTTTGTCGAGTCTGTACACCCCAACTGCAGCAAACAATAGGGATTGAATGGAATGCCGCATTGAAGCAGCAGCAGCAGCTGCTGCTGCTGCTGCTGCTGCTGCTACTGACCTGTTTGGGTGTATGTACACCTCAGAGCGCCATGAAGGAGAAGTGCTGCAGCAGATCGACAAAGAAGGGAGGCAGCAGCTGCTGCTGCTGCGCTCTGCTGCACAGCAGCGCCAAGTCGGCAGCAAGAATATCTCTGTCTCCACTTCTTTCTTTATATGCTTCTATTAATGCTTCTCCTTGGGGCTGCATGCGAAGAGCAGCAAAAGAGAGAGGGAACGCGTCGCTAGGGGGCGCTGCAGCATGGCCTGCAGCAGAAAAAGACCGGGGCCCTGTTGCTGCTGCTGCTCCTGCTGCAGTTGCTGCTGCTGGTGCTGTTGAGGGGGTTGTCGCACCAGCAGCTTGCAGCTGCTGCTCTGCAGCAGCACGCTGCTGCTCCCAAAGCTTCCTTTCTACTGCGTACAGCTGCAGCGATTTTGCTGCTACCCTCTGGGCCTGCTGCAGCACATCACGGATAGTAGTAGCAGCAGCAGCAACAGCCTGATGCTCCGCCTCTAGCAGCAGCAAGCTTTGCTGCCTCTCTAAGAGTCTTTGCTGTTCCTCTTCCTCCTGCTGCTGCTGCAGCATTTGCTGCTCGTCTTCCAGTTCCTGCTGCTGCTGCTCCAGCCGTTCGTGCTCTTGCTGCTGCTGCTCTTGCTGCTGCTGCTCTTGATGCTGCTGCTCTTGATGCTGCTGCTCTTGCTGCTGCTGCTGTGCGCTATGGTTTCCTTGACTGCTGTTGCTTCTCAGCGCCGACCTTTCATGCATCTGCATCTGCTGCTGCTGCTGCTGCTTCTGCTGCTGCTTCTGCTTTTGCTTTTGCTGCTGCTTCTTTTGCTTTTGCTGCTGCTGCTGTTTCCACTCTTCTTCTTCTGCTTTGCTCTCCTCAAGAAGCGCAAAGAGAGAGACCTGCTGCTGCTGCAGCTGCTGCTCTGCCTGAACTAAGACGCCTATGAGGGCCTCTGAGGCCCTTCGCTTCCAACCCATTGCTTCCCCCATCAGCCGAGACACTTGAGCGAGGGCCTCGCTGCTGCTGCTGCTGCTGTTGTTGTTGTTGTTGTTGCTGCTGCTGCTGCTGTCGTTGTTGCTGCTGCTGTTGTTGTTGCTGCTGCTGTTGTTGTTGCTGTTGTTGGTGTTGGTGCTGGAGCTCGCGTTGTCGCCGTCCCTGTTGCTGCTGCTTCCGTTGCTGTTGCTGGTATCTTCACTGGTGTTATTGCTGCTGCTGCTGCTGCTGCTGCTGTTGTTGTTGCTGCTGCTGCTGTTGCTGCTACCGCTGTTCCCTACGTGCTGCTGCAAGGAGGCAGGCAGCTCCCCCAGCAGCAGCGCCTCACGAATGGAACGTTTCTGCTGCTGCAGCAGTTCTTGCTGCTCTTGCTGCTGAGGCTCCGATTCATCTTGTTGCTGCTCTTGCTGCTGCTGCTCTTGCTGCTGCTGCTCTTGCTGCTGCTGCTGATGTTGCTGCTGCTCCGTTCGTCTCTCAGGACTCCATTCTGACCTCGGAAGGGCATCCACATGAGCTCCGTGCTGCTGCTGCAGCTGCTGCAGTTCCTCTTGGTGCTGCTTTTGCTGCTGTTTCCGCTGCTGCTGCTGTGTTTGTTGCTGCTGTTCATGATTTAGACTATTTTGCTGCCTGGAACCCTGCTTCTGCTGCTCCTGCTGCTGCTCCTGCTGCTGCTCCCGGTGCTGTACCTGCTCGTGTTGAATGTGCTGCTGCTGCTTTCTTGTATCCTGTTCCTGCTGCTGCCGACCCTGCTGCTGCCAATCCTGCTGCTGCCGATCCTGCTGCTGCCGATCCTGCTGCTGCCAATCCTGCTGCTGCCGATCCTGCTGCTGCCAATCCTGCTGCTGCCGACCCTGCTGCTGCCGATCCTGCTGCTGCCGATCCTGCTGCTGCCGATCCTGCTGCTGCCGATCCTGCTGCTGCCGATCTTGCTGCAGGTGCTGCTGCTGCTGCTGCTGCGTACTTGAGGGGGTTTCACTGCTTCGAGTGTTTGCGTTTGAGTCTCGTGTCTCTGCCTGTTCTTCTATTGGTGCTGCTGGAGACTGTGGGGTCTTTGCTGCTAAACTCGCTGCTGCTGCAGGTGCTGCTGCTGCAGCATTTGCATCTGTTGTTGGTGAGGGACCTGTTGCTCCATCAGCGTCTCTTGCTGCTGCAGTGGTTGATGGCGTTGCTGCTGTTGCTGCTGTTGCTGCTGTTGCTGCTGTAGTTGTGGCTGCTGCTGCCGACGTTGTTGCTGCTGATGCCGGAGTTGCTGCTGCTGCTGCTGCTGTTGTTTCAGCTTGTGCATCTGCAGCAGCAGCGAGTCTCCGTTGAGTTGCAGTTTGCTGCTGCCAAGTGTCTGGGGTGGTTTGGTGAGGGTCTCCCAGTCGCTGCTGCTGCTGCTCCTGTAGCAGCGCTTTGAGTAGCTGCTGCTGCTGCTGCTGCTCCTGCAGCAGTGCTTTGAGTTGCTGCTGCTGCTGCTGCTCCTTCATGTGCTGCAGCAGCATATCATAGGCTTGCTGCTGCTGCTGCGCTCCTTTTCTAATAGTAAGATATTCATGAGTAGCCTTAATAATAAGGTCTGCCATGTAGCTGCTGGTGGAGCCGAGGGTAGCAGCAGCAGCAGCAGCAGCTGCTGCTGCTGCTGCTTCTGCTGCTTCTTGCATTGTTTGATTTTCTGCCTGTCGATGCTGCTTCTGTCTGGCGATCCAGGCATGGTGGAGCTGCTGCTGCTGCTGCTGCTGCTGCTGCTGCAGGTAGCGGCGAACTGAGGTACCCACGCTGCTGGGCCCCCCAGTAAGGATGCCCTGTTCTTCTGCTTGCTGCAGCGACAGCAGCAGCTGCTGCGCTGCAGCAGGAGGAGTTGCTGCTGAATGCGACAGCGACCAGCACACCGCACCCATAAACACTAAGCTCAAGGCCCCCAGCAGCACAAACCACAGCAAACTCGGCTTGTCTTTATATCCCCAGTTGCTGCCTGTCAGTGGAGAGCTTGAGGGGTCTTGCTGCTGCCTTTGCTGCTGCTGCTGCTGCTGCTGTTGCTGCTGCTGCCTGTGCTGGTGCTGGGGGTGCTGCTGCTGCTGCTGGTGCTGCCGCACAGGGACCCTCGGGTGTCCTGTTGCTGCGGATGTGTTCATAGGTGCTCCTGCTGCTGCTGCTGCTGCTGCTGAGAGGGGTTCTGCTGCTGCTCTTTCGCTGCTCTGACTGAATGGTGCAACGCCTCCAAATGTTTGCATTTTATTGTTGAAGCCCAGAGCTAGCAGAGTTTGCTGCAGCAGACTTGGACGTTGCTGCTGCTGCTTTGGGGTGTATGCGCTGCTAGCAGCAGCACTGCTGCTGCTGCGAACGGCTGGCATAGTAGCAGGTGTTTTCTCTTGTGCTGCTGCAGCCTTTGAATGGGTGCTGCCTCCTTGAGCAGGCGAAGCAGCAGGAGCCTTTGTCGTTGCTGTTGTTGTTGGTGTTGCTGTTGTTGTTGCTGCTGCTGCTGCTGTTGCTGCTGCTGCTGCTGCTGCTGTTGTTGAACCAGGTGTTGATGCTGCTGTTGCTACAGAAGCAGGATACTGTGGGGTAAGCGGCTCCTCTTCATAGACGGAGTCTACTCCAGCGCTCTTCTGCTGCCGCAGCGGGGGGTTGTTTGCTGCAGCAGCAGCAGCAGCAGCAGCAGCAGCACCACTACCACCACCAGCAGCAGAAACCATCGTCTCTTCTACAGATTAATACCGCCTCCAGGCGGGAAGGCGTAGGGGGGAAGGAAGGGAAGGAGAGAGAAAACGCCTTCAACTCAATTGTTAGGGTTTAGGGTTTAGGGTTTAGGGTTTAGGGTTTAGGGTTTAGGGTTTACAACGCAGGCAGAAGAGGAGCCGACATGGTGTATGGTGACCTGTATGTACTGAGCGAAAAATAAGGGTTTAGGGTTTAGGGTTTAGGGTTTAGGGTTATTAACCCCTCCTCATTCGTTGTTTATACCTTCAGGTAACTAAGAAACAAAACCTTCTCAAACTTTACAGAAAAAGGGTTTGGACCCAGAAACTAGGGTTTGGGGTTAAGGGTTTAGGGTTTAGGGTTTACGGTCCGGCAACACAGAGCACCAGAGCAGCAGATAACCACCGCCGCTTCTGGCGCCTGACTTCATTGCCTATTCCACGCTAAACCCTAAACCCTAAACCCTAAACCCTAAACCCTCAAAGACAAATCTTTGCCTTGAATAAAATATTTTGGAAAGCTTGTGAACTCAAACCCTAAACCCTAAACCCTAAACCCTAAACCCTAAACCCTACCCGACACAGGTGACCCTACCGGCGGACACGCTCACCATTGAGTGGAGACCCGGCGAAAGCAGCAAACCCTAAACCCTAATTTCTCTTATTTGTGTTTTTGTTTAGTTTTTTAAAAATTAACAGCAGACAAACCCTTTCTGCTGCGTAGCGTTGCGTAGAACGAAACAACCCTAAACCCTAAACCCTAAACCCTAAACCCTAAAACCCTAAACCCCATATATATTATATATAAACTTAAAAAAAATATGTAAAATATGTTTATAAGGGGGGCAGATTAAGAAGCTGCAAACCCTTGGTCTTCTTCCTTTATGCCTAAACCCTCATTCTACAATAACCCTAAACCCTAAACCCTAAACCCTAAACCCCAGACTGGGCTCCGGGACAGCAGCCCTCAGCACCCTCTAACAACACAAACAACTTCAAATGATATACAGCATTTCCTTCTTTAAGACCCCAGTCGTTACCTAAACGCTAAACCCTAAACCCTAAACCCTAGGCCGCAGGCGGTGTCAGTTGGTGCAACCACATAAGGGTTTAGGGTTTGAAGCAGCAACGAAGTCTGTATAAAGCCCCCTTCGTGCTGCTGCTGCTGTATCTGGGGTGTACGTACACCTTGAGGTGTACGCTTAGGGTTTAGGGCTGCTCAAGGGAGAGCCTTAGGGTTTCTCTACCTGTTGTCTCCTCTGCAGGCAGCAGAGACAATATACCAAACCCTAAACCCTAAACCCTAAACCCTCCTATATAGACGCCAGCGGCCACCCTCCCCACACGCGGGCACATGCTGCCATACAAACCCTAAACCCTAAACCCTAAACCCTAAACCCTAAAGAAGTGACAGAAGGGGCCTCAGTTAATCCTTATAAATTTCCTTCCCATCATTTACTCTAAACCCTAAACACCTTCAAGACTCTCAAAAGGCGTCGGATACAGAGCAAGAACCCTAAACCCTTAAAACCCTAAACCCTAAACCCTAAACCCTAAACTCTAAAAAAGTCCTAATCCCTAATTCGTAGGCAAACCCTAAACCCTAAAGAATGCAGCTGCTTCAAAACAACTCGGCAGCCGAGATATCATAATAAGAACAGTAAACCCTAAACCCTAAACCCTAAAATATGCAAACCCTAAACCATAAACCCTAAACCCTAAACCCTAGGAGATGGAGGCCTTCAAATCAGGCTACTGGGAGACTTAATGAAGACCAAAGAGAGTTAGAGAGAGGCAACTCAAACTGCTACGCCTTTCTTTGCTTAAAAATGAGTAAAAGGAGACAGAGATATATATAAAACAGAGATAAGAGAAAAAGATATAATAAAGAGACAGAAAGAGACGAAGGAGTAAGACAGAAGAAAGCACAGAGACAGCTGAAGCAAAAAGGAGACAGATAAAACAAACAGATTTGAGAAGGAGACATGACACAGACACAGAGAAGAAAGGAGACACACAGAGACAGAAAAAGAAGCGAAGTAAAGAGAGAGAGAGAGAGACAGAGACAGAGACAGAGAAAGAGAGAGAGAGAGACAGAGACAGAGAGAGACAGAGACAGAGAGAGACAGAGAGACAGAGAGACAGAGACAGAAAGAGAGAGAGACATAAATGGAGACAGCAAAAGAGAGAGAGACAGAGCAAGAGACAAAAGGAGACAGTATGCGAGACAAAAGGAGACAGAAGCAAGTTTAACTTCTGTCTACAGCAAAATGCTGTACTTCTCAGCTGCTGGAATCTGGTGCAGACCGACGGCGCCGTCATCGCTCATCGACGCGAAGACCCAAGCATCAGACACCGACCAGCTCAAGCTGCAAAGGGAATCCTGCAGCAGCAGCAGCAGCAGCAGCAGCAGCAGCAGCAGCAGCAGCAGTGGGAGCAGCAGCAGTGGCAGCAGCAGCAGCAGCAGTGGGGAAGGTGCGGCAGCAGCGGAAGGAGGAGGAGAAATAGCAGCAGCAGCAGTATGAGAAATAGCAGCAGCAGCAGCATGAACAGCAGCATGTGCAGCAGCAGCAGTAGCAGCAGCAACAACTAATTGCTGTTGATAGAAAGCCCCATTAGAGAGACTGCTGAGGAGTGGTGGCAGTGCATGCATTTTGTTTGAATTTCGGCGGCCCTCTTTGTGTTGTGTCTCCTCCTCATTCATCTCTTCGCATTTATTTCTTGCTCAGAGACTCTACCTCTATCTGAAGATCTGTCTTTGTCTCTATTACTCTCGCTGTCTCCTTATCTGTCTCTTTATCTGTCTCTTTATCTGTCTCCTTCTCTGTCTCCTTATCTGTCTCTTTATCTGCCTCCTTATCTGTCTCTTCATCTGCCTCCTTATCTGTCTCTTTATCTGTCTCTCTGTCTGTCCCTTTATCTGTCTCTTTATCTATCTTTGTCTTTGTCTTCTTATCTTTCTGTCTCTGTCTCTGTCTTTGCATGTCTTTGTTTGTATGTCTATTTGTTTGTCTCCTCTTTGTCTCTGTCTCTGTCTCTGTCTCTGTCTCTTTGTTTATTCTCTTTAGCTGTCTCCTTTATCTATTTCTGTCTCCTTATTTGTCTATTGTCTTTAAGCTGTCTCCTCTATCTGATCTTGTCTCTCTTTATACATCCATAATATACAATAATAATATATATATATATATATTTATATATATATATATTTATATGTATATGTATATATATAATAATATATGATTAATGTATTATGTTTAATCTTATCTCCTTTTTATATATTTTTATCTGTCTCCCTCTCTATATATAAAATATATATATATATATATATCTATATATCTATATACAGGTATATATGTATGTATATGTATATAACAACATTATATTATTATTGTGTTTAATGCGATATCCTTTGTAAATATTTTAATCTGTCTCTTTGTTTCTAAAGATAATTAAATATATTTAATTATATTTAGCTGTCTCCTTTCTTACGTCATTTGACTCATCTACACAAAGAAGGCAGTCTCCTCTCACTGCCCTGTCTGTCTCCTTTTGAGGTGTATATACACCGCAGCAACTAACAGCCAAAGCCTGCTCCAGCCAGTGCACCTTCAAACATCCATCAGTCCCTAAGCAACAAACAAAACAAGGGTTTAGGGTTTGCTCTAAAGGGTTTAGGGTTTGTGTATTAGGGTCTACAGTTTGTATATTAGGGTTTAGGGTTTGCTCTAAAAGGCTTTAGGGTTTGTGTATTAGGGTCTAGGGTTTGTGTATTAGGGTCTAGGAGTTGCTTGAAATGGTTTAGGGTTTGCTTTAAAGGGTTTAGGGTTTGCTTTAAAGGGTTTAGGGTTTGCTTTAAAGGGTTTAGGGTTTGTTTATGGGTGTACTTGAAAGGGTTTGGTGTTTGCATATTAGGGTTTAGGGTTTGCCTATTAAAGTTTAGGGTTTGTATATTAGGGTTTAGGGCGTGCAAAGTAGGGACTAGGGTTTGCTAAACAGGGCCAAGGGTTTAGGGTTTAGGGTTTAGGGTTTAGGGTTTGGGGTTTAGGAGATGCCTGCAGTAAGGAGGAGTTGGTCGTGAAAATGATTAATTTGGAGATGAGCAACCCAATGACTGTGCACGTCTCGCAGAGTCTACGAAACAAAACGCAGACAAAAGGAGACAAATAAATAGACAAAAGGAGACAAATAAAGAGGCAAATAAACAGGCAAAAGGAGACAAATAAACAGACAAAAGGGGACAAATAAACAGACAAATAAACAGACAAAAGGAGACAAATAAAGACATAAATAAGGAGGTAAGAGGAGACTAATAAACAGACAAAAGCAGACAACTAAAAAGACAAAAGGAGACAGAAATAGGCAAAAAGGAGACAAAAGGAGACAAACAATAGACAAAAGGAGACAGTAGAAGACAAAAGGAGACAAATAAACAGATTAAAAAGAGCATTAAAAGGAGACAGACAGAAGCAGACACAAAGAAACAAAAAAAAGCAAACAAAGAGACAGAGACAGAGACAGAGACAGAGGAAGCAGCAAACAAGGAGACAGGCCCAAGGCAAACAGTAGCAGCAAACAAAATAATAATAATAATAATAATAATAATAATAATAATAATAATAATAATAATAATAATAATAATAATAAGGAGACAGGAGACAGCCTACCTTAACAGGTTTATTGAGCTTTCTTATATCCCAATTAAAGACAGAGCCGTCGCTGCCTCCAGAGAGACAAGCGAAAGGTAAGTTTGAATTAAAGCAGAGACAAAGTGCTGCAGCACGAGGCCCGTGAGGGTTCACGCAGCTCTCTGTACACCCGAAACTCCCGCTGCTGCTGCCGCTGCTGCTGCTGCTGCTGCTGCTGCTGCTGCTGCTGCGTAAGTCCCAGAGAGAAAGGAGACCCCCTGCTGCTCCTCCTGTGCGACGAAGGGACGGACAATTGGTCTTGCTATGGGCAGTGAGCACCTGAATAAACATTTTTAAGAAATACGCTCTATTTATATTTATATTTATATATATAAATCTTAATATAAATATAAATAAATATATTTTATAGAGACAAATAAATAAATACATATTTATAGATATAAACATTTTTATAGATATAAACATACTTATAGATATGCATATATACATATATATATACATATATATATATATATTTATATTCTATATAAATATATTCTACTTAGGTGTATCGGCAGCTAATTGCATGCAAGACGACGCCTTCGCATATGGGCTGGAGAATAATGATTTCCCTTCATAGACACTACAAACCCTAAACCCTAAACCCTAAACCCTAAACCCTTTGAACGGACCATGTTGGGGTCGTGGGGGTTCCAGACCGCCGCCTCGCAGGACATTTGCTGATGCTGCAGCAACCCCAACGCCTTCGATGAGGAGACAGAGACAGAGACAGAGACAGAAAGGAGACAGTTAGGTGTATGTACACCTCAACAAACGGAGACAGGAGACAGAGACAGAGACAGAGGAGACAGAAAGGAGACAGTCAGGTGTACGTACACCCCAACAGAGACAGAGACAGAAAGAAGGAGACAAAGACGAAGACAAAGTTAGATACAGAGAAAGAGACAGAGAAAGAGACAAAGAAAGAGACAGAGACAAAGACAAAGATTGAGATATATAGAGACACAGAGACAGCGAGACAGAGAGACAGAGAGAGAGAGAGAGAGAGAGAGAGAGAGAGAGACAGACAGACAGACAGAGACAGAGACAGACAAAGAGAGGCAAGGAGAGACAGAAAAAGAGAGAGAAGCAGAGTAAGACAACATGCCGAAGGAGACAGAGACGACAGATAAGATGAGAGGATAGGAGACAGCGAAGAAGACAGAGACAAACGCAATTAAGACAAAGACAAAGAAGAGACAGACAGACAGAGGGAGATGAAGAGACAGCACACAACCAGCAAACATAACAAAACAACAAACAAACAAACAAACAAACAAACAAACAAACAAACAAACAAATAACAAAAAGAAATGCATGTGCATGCAGAGACAGAAGCACCTCAATCGATGACTCTCTCTCTTTAAATACTACGCATTTGCTGCTGTCAACGCCCAGCACCCGCAGTCCCTGCGAAGTCTCCGGAGACACCTGAACGCTGCAGCAGCAGCAGCAGCAGCAGCAAGAGGGGCAGCAGCAAATTAACAGTAGCATCAGCAACAGCACCAACAAAAGCAACAGCAACACTACCAGCAGCGGCAGCAACAGATGTAGCGGAAACAACAGCAGCAGAAACAGCAGCAGCAGCAACAGCAGCAGCAGCAGCAGCAGCAGCAACAGCAACAGCAGCGGATTGAGATATGTAGCAGACTAAGGGATAGTCAATAAGAAGAAAAATAAAAAGATAAACAAAAAAACAAAATATAAAGCAATGTACAGCATATAATAATAAATAAATAAATAAATAAATAATAAAACAATGAAGAAGGAGATAGAGAGACAAACAAACAAAACAAACAAAAAGGAGAAGAAGGCATGCAAGAAGGAGACAAACAAATAAATAAAAAGAAGAGACAGACAGAGACAAATTAAAGTACCTGTGAATGCAATCAAAAGGCACTGGAGGACGCAGGTCTTCGCATACACTGAAACTGTTGCTGCTGCTGCTGCTGCCGTTGCTGCTGCTGCTGCTGCTGCCGTTGCTGCTGCTGCTGCT